TATAGATATCTTTGACATCCCATAGTGTGTGATGTTTGCATAAATCTGAATAGATAATGAGATATTACTAGCATAGTACCTAGGCATATAGTGAGTAGAATGTCATATAGATATCTATGACATCCCATAGTATGTGATGTTTGCATAAATCTGAATAGGTAATGAGATATTACTAGCATTGTACCTAGGCATATAGTGAGTAGAATGTCATATAGATATCTATGACATCCCATAGTGTGTGATGTTTGCATAAATCTGAATAGGTAATGAGATATTACTAGCATTATACCTAGGCATATAGTGAGTAGAATGTCATATAGATATCTATGACATCCCATAGTGTGTGATGTTTGCATAAATCTGAATAGGTAATGAGATATTACTAGCATTGTACCTAGGCATATAGTGAGTGGAATGTCATATAGATATCTATGACATCCCATAGTGTGTGATGTTTGCATAAATCTGAATAGGTAATGAGATATTACTAGCATAGTACAGTAGTGTGTGTGATGTTTGTGTAAATATGAAATATATTACTAGCAGTGTATCTAGGCATTAATGAAGAGGAATGTCACTGGTTAGTTTTCTAAAGAATATTTTGAATTAAATAATGATTTTTTAATACATTGTTTTTGACAATTTTATTTCATAGGAGTGAACAGTGATGGTAAAGACGTATTTTTACGTGATATCTGGCCTACAAGATCTGAAATTCACGAAGTAGAGAGACAGTTTGTTATTCCTTCTATGTTCAAAGAAGTATATTCTAAAATTGAGGTGAGCCTACTCATCTGTATATTTGACTGAAATAGGCCGGCAACGTTATTAATTCATCTTCATTAACTGCATCCGAGTAAGTGGCTAATAGTCTGATTTGTTCTTTTGTATGTTTTTTTTTTTTAGAAAGGTGAAGGAACACCTCGATGGAACACTCTAAATGCCCCAGATAGCCAGCTCTACCCGTGGGATGCCAAATCAACTTACATCAAATCACCACCATTCTTTGAAACAATGGTGAGAATATCTTTAATTTTCTGTTACTGTATTAATCTGTATGGACTGGAGAGAGCTTTTGGAGCCCAAAGGGTAGCAAAACCTGTATCCAGTCCATAAAGGTTTTATCATATACTTTATAGAAATTACAATTTTACCCTGACATGACCACAAACACACAAAATGATTTAAAAACATGTGTTTTGTTGTTATTGCTGTAAACTGAGCCAACTTGGCCAGGCATGACACAGGAAATTTTTGTCCTGATGTGAGATCTGCACTATCCTTCAGAACATAGTTTTTGAGTAAAACCTGGAAATTGATTAAAATTTCGTCTGTTGGTTCAAAAATTAGGGTTTATTTCCAGAAATATTGAAGAACATAAAAAAAAAGTGCAGACAAATTTTGGTGAGGTACTGTAAAAGACTTTATTTGCACATGGAATTTATTTTCGTTGATAGGATGATTTTGTGAAAATGAAATCCAGTGAATATACCTTTTTTCCTATACTTCACAATCAACTAGTCAAAAATCAGTGAAAATAAATTTCGTACAAAACACCCAAAAAGTCATTTGCAGCGAAAAATTAATTCCTGCTAAAATAAAGTATTTTACAGTAATTGACGGTTCTTCTGTTGAATTTGTAGAATTAAGTCTACTGCTAGATATAGTTGTGCATTCACTTCCCCATCATTCCTCAGGGTACTGTTGCTAGGCGACAATCACTTTGCTCTCTTTTGTAAATACTAAAATCTCTCATGGGTTCTAATTTCCCAAATGATATAAAATCGAGAACTGGCTCTTTCTAGCATTGTATTACAGCTAATACACACATACTGATGTATTGAAAGCAGGTTTTTTATTTGACTGCAACTGGCAATGACAATGACATGTTGGAGTCTTAAATAAATAATTATTTCTCAACTGTAGAATTACTCATAAAATAAAACATCTGTGCATTCAATTAATTGCAGACGAAAGAAGTATCTCCTGTGAGTGGTGTATCTAATGCACGTGTCTTGCTGTATTTGGGAGATTCTGTCACTACCGACCATATATCACCTGCAGGCAGTATATCCCGTACTAGTCCAGCTGCTAGGTACCTTGCTGAAAGAGGGTGAGTATATCTGTACAAGTCCAGATGCAAGGTACCTTGCTGAAAGAGGGCGAGTATATCCGTACTAGTCCAGATGCAAGGTACCTTGCTGAAAGAGGGTGAGTATATCCCATACGAGTCCAGATGCTAGGTACCTTGCTGAAAGAGGGTGAGTATATCCCGTACTAGTCCAGCTGCTAAGTACCTTGCTGAAAGAGGGTGAGTATATCCGTACTAGTCCAGATGCAAGGTACCTTGCTGAAAGAGGGCGAGTATATCCGTACTAGTCCAGATGCAAGGTACCTCGCTGATAGAGGGCGAGTATATCCCGTACTAGTCCAGCTTCTAGGTACCTTGCTGAAAGAGGGTGAGTATATCCGTACTAGTCCAGGTTCTAGGTACCTTGCTGAAAGAGGGCGAGTATATCCGTACTAGTCCAGCCTCTAGGTACCTTGCTGATAGAGGGGGAGTATATCCCCTACCAATATAACTGCTGGGTATACTGTAGCACATAGTAATGGTCAGTGAACACAATTTAAGGACCTTGTCTTAGCTTAACTTTCATTCTTCTAATTTTGAATCTGGCTGTCAAACTTTTTTATAAACACTATTGCCACTATTGTTTTTTTGTGTGTCCAAAGCAAACTTAAGGTAGCGGGACTATTATTTGCATACTTGTTTTCATCTTCTAATTGTGACTAAATGACTATAAA